CCCAGGCAGGGTGGGCTCCCTATGGCTAGGGGATTCCAGTGAAGATCCTCCATCACCCCACCAAGGGGACAGTGGCCCCACTGTCCTGGCATGGCCCCATGGCTCACTGGAGCAGCACCCATGCAGCACTCGCAGCTGCCTGACCCCACGCTGTGGCTGGGGAGGGGTAGCATCGCCCCAGCCCGCCCACCCCAGCCCGGGCACATGTGTTTCCAATGTGGCTGGGAGCTCCAGGGAGTCGGCGTGCTCAGAAGGCAGCACCAAATTCCTTTCTGATCGAGTAATGGGCCCCAGCAGCCTCCGCGGGGCCGGGCAGGGGGAGGGGACGCTTGGACCCTCCAGGACCGGGCTGGAGCAGGGGGAATCCCGGACTAAACACAAGGATCTCAGGATAAACACAGGGATCCCAACTGGGCAAGAGCACAACATCCCTCGGCACCAACATAGGGCTGGGCTCCTGCACAGTGTCCTAACAGCCCCTGGCTCAGACACGCTGGGTCACCACCAGGGAGGATGGTCCCCGTCACCTTGACCAATACAGCTTCCCCAGCATCACCCCTCATCCCACACCGGGGCACTGGGCCCTGCAGTGGGGATGCTGCTCCCATCTGGCATCAAGTACCGGATACTCCCAGTGACCATGGGATGGATGGGCTGCGGATGATGGGGCAAGCTCAACACCGAGGATGGGGATGGCAGAGGCTCGCTGCCTGGATGGGGCTCAGTGCTGGAGGTGGGGGGGCCCAACCGGGAGGGGGGGGAGCCTAGCCCTGGCTCTTGCCTTCCCAGGAACCATTTCTGCTGCTCTCAGCAGCTTTGGCAGGGAGGGCTCGTTGCAGCAGATGCCGGGAAGCGATGTACCCAGGGCTGACAGCTGCCTCCTGGCCAGCACACACTGCGCTCCCCACAGTGCCCTTGGGCTGGCAGCAGGACTGTGGGGCTCCCCAGAGACCCGGGGCCGGGCAGGGGGTTGGACCCGCCCAGGTGCACAAAGCCCGGGGGGCTCCCAGACCCCATCTGTGTCCCAAGAGCAGGCACCCGGCTAGAGAGCAGCATGCACACCAGGTGCTGGATACTCCAAGCTGGGCAGTGGGTGCACCCAGAGTGGGTGGTGGGTGCACGGTTGGCATCCCCATCAGACATCAGCACTAGCAGCATGCATCCAGCACCCAGCTCTGCTCAGCGAGCTGCACCCCAGGATACCAGTAGCATCCCCCCCCCACTGCACAGCACAGGCACCCTGGGGGAGCAAGGAGAGGATCCCGGGTCAGACACCCCCAGCCAGCCCCACGGCACCCGGGTGGGGCTGGGAGATGTGGATGGGTGCTGGAGGACCAGGAGGGTGATGGGGAGATGCTCCCTGCGGGCTGCTGCACCGACTGCAGCGGTGCCTGGATCCTGCCGGGCCCCGGCGCCCGCAGCACAGGGTGCCCCGCACGGGGGGTGCAGGCAGGGCAGAGCAGCGCGGGGGTCCCGCCGGGGAAGGGCCCCCTCGTCCCGAGCCAGCAGCACATCACCGCGGTGGGGCAGTCCCGGCCCGATGCACCGCGGCCCCGCGGGGATGGAGCACCCCGGGAGCTTGGGGTACCGCGGAAAGCGGGACCGGGGTGGGGGGGGGATGCCTGGTGTCCTGGCGGCCGCAGGCCTCGCTCCGCCGGGCAGAGGGAACCGCGATCTCCCCCTTCCCCTGGCGCCCCTGCCCGCGGCTCCGGCTCCAGACAATGGCGAGGGACCCGGGGCCGGGCCCAGCACCGGGGGCACCGCCGGGCCCGCACCGCCGTGCGCGGATGCTCTGCTCCCCGCGCTCGCTGCCCGGCGGGAGGTCGGGCCGTGCCGCGGGCTCCCGGAGGCGGCGGGTCCCGCGCTCGCACGTGCCGGCCCGGCGCAGACAAAGCGGAGACCGCGCCCCGGGCCGGTGCGGCCGCAGCGGCGGGCAGGTGCGGGCACCGGGGGCCGCGGGCCGGGCACACCGCTCCGCAACCCCCCCCCCCCCCCCCGCCGCCCCGCCCGCCTTTGTGTGCCGGGGCTGCCGGCACCGCGGGCCCGGGGCGGCGGGAGGCGCAGCGCGGGGCGCGGCCGGTGATACCGGGCGGCTCCGTGCACAAAGGGCGGCGGCGGCGGCGGGGACAAAGGGGCGGCGGCGGCGGCGGGCGCGCTCACCAGTCGGTGGGGCTGTCCTCGCCGATCACGTCCTGGTAGGAGGCGAGCAGCTCCAGGCGGTGCGCCGCGAAGCCGACGCCAGCCATGGCGGGGCCGGGATGCTGCCGGGGGGACCGGAGGGACCGGCCGCCTGCCCGCCTCCGAGACACTGCCGCAGCGGCCGGGCGGAGGGGCGAGCGGCGGGGAGGCTCCGCCCGCCGCCGCGCCCGGTCCTAGCGCCGCGAACGGCGGCCCCCCCCTCTCCGCCCCCCCACCCCCCAGCCCGGCCCCCGCCCGGCCCCGCCGCGCCCCCGGGGCACCTCCGGGGCACACCGCGGGCCGCGCCGCCGGGCACCGCACCTCGCCCTCGGGGGTGCGGGCAGCACCCACCCGCCCCGGGGTGCTCCCGCACGCGGCTCGGCCCCGGGATCCTGCACCCCAGGGACCCGCAGCCTGCGCTCTGCTCCGACCCCGCCACCAGCGACTCTGAACCAGGAGAGCCGCAGCGCGGCTCAGCTCCCCGCCGGGACCCTGCGCCCGCGGTGTTTGACTCTGGGCTCTCCTCCACCCTGGGGACTGGTGCCCTGTGCTACCCCTCCCGAGGACCTTGCAACCTGGGGACCTCCTGCTCCTCTGCACACCCGCCCCTCCTCTGCCCCATGTCCCCCCACCCTAGGGGCACTGGGAATCCTATGCCCTCAGCTACCCTCTGCCCCTGTGCCCTGAGGTTTCCTCTCCAAGGATGTGGCACTGTGGGCTCTACCCCATGGACCCAGCCATGCCCTCGCTCTGCACAGGGTATCAGTGGGCAAAGCCACTGTGGGGGCCCCTTTGCCACCCACCTTCCCTCCCCATCTCTGAGTACGATGGTGCCTTTTCCAGGAGGTTTTGCCTCCCCATGAACCCATAAAGCTGCTCGTGCACGGACCTTGCAGGGCTCTGTGAGGGCTCCCGGCAGGGTCTACATGCTCCTGCCAGGCAGGCAGCATTGTTGTTAACCCCCCCCCCCCACCGACCCCTAGCACTGCCCACATCCCAGCCCAGAGCCGTGCTGAAGGGGTCTCTGTGCTGGAGTGGCAGAGGGGAGTGTACGGGGACTGATCCCCACAAGCTGGGGCCGATGCTGGTGTGGCCCTTCCCAAACCAAGCCCTTCAGAGCTGCCTGTGGCTGAGCCCCCCATAGTCAGTGGAATAGGGGACGGGGTGCGACGGGCCCTGCCTGCTCCCCCCACACCCGGCTCCCACCAGCATTTCGGAGCCAGGCCGGAGCTGGAGCACGCCCTCAGAGGCTGCAGGAGTGTGTGAGCAGCTGTGGAGCAGCTGCCGGGGCCAGCGCAAGGGCCAGGGCTGCAGCAGGCACCCTGCAAGCAACTCTGCTGCCATTGGGGTTGATGTGGTGAGACCCCAACTTAGGACATGATGGGTGCCCTGAGCCTGCTGCCAGGCTTTGTTCTCGGAGCAGCGGCAGCAGCCCCTCCTCAGGCTCCACCTCCGTATCCCACCCGAGACCCTCCTTCCGCTGCCTGAGCGCAAGCCTCTCGCATGGCGCACGGAGTTGGGAGGCAAGAGCTGCTCTCGGCAAAGCACAGAAGCACATTGGGTGGTCGAGGTGTCATCAGTAGGAGTCAGAGGCAACAGGGCACCAAGCAGAAGGGGCTGAGCCCCCAGTGGATGCGTGCCTTGCAGTGGCACAAAGGAGAGGCAGGCTGTGGCCCTGCCTCCACTCCAAGGTCGGGTACCCAGGGGCTGAGCTGGCACAACCAGTTCCAGGGCCGTGCCACCCCACAGGGCTCCGTCCCGCACAGCTGCCTCCCCTGCCCTGCCCTCCGCTGTCCCAGCTGAGCCAGCGTTGGCTCGGTGGCTGCTCACGTGAGGCCACCATCGCTTCACCTTCCCCTGCGCTTCCCCTGACCTTGGCTGCAGCCGGGACGCACGCTGGGGCACTTACCATAGCCCTGCTTGTCCCGGCCCTGCCAGGCAGGCACCAGCTGTTTCTGTTCCCCCTTTGTCAGCCATGTCCTGTTGCTCCTCGGTGTGACCGTTCCACTGCCCCACATACCTCAGTGCAAGCACCCAGCTCAACCACCGCCTACCTCCATTCCTCCTGCTTCCCCCTCCCCACCTTAGATGGGGTTTTGCACTCCTGCAGCTGGCACCCCAGCCACAAGCCAGTTCCGGGTGATGCTGGGAGGGAGGCATTTGGCTTCCCACAGCCAGCTCCTGCCCTCAGCAGAACCTTCCAGTAGATTAGCAATTTTCCTTACAATTGCTCATCACAGTAAGAGCTGCAATTACTAATGACCGTTCCAGCTGCCAAAGCTGAGCAGGAGGAGCAGCTCTTCCCCACACCCGCTGCCCTGAGCCCGTTCCAGCCAGAGGTGCCGGCTTGGCCTCGCACCCATCCTTTGGGACAGCAGCTGCATCCATGAGCAAGCGCTTGGCTGATCTATGCTGGAGCGCGCCAAGAGCTGATGCACGTGGCCCACGCGTGCCCCCGCTGGTTGGTCCCTGTGCAGGACCCAGGGCCAGAGCACAGCAGAGACCAGGGGACACAACTGGGCAAAGCAGGGACCACCCTGCAGGGTCCAAACCCTGCCCCATCCTCCCTTGCTGCAGCTTTGCCCCTCAGTAATTACTGCCTTCGTCAGCAGTCCTGCTTGCTATGAAGACAGAGGGACAACCCCAGCCATGAGGGGTTCAGCCCACGCTGACACAGGCAGAGGAGGTCGAATGCGAGGCCAGGGTTTTCCCTGGAAAGCTGGAAGGAGCTGAGTCAGGCCCTGGGAGGGAGCAGGGCAAGGGCTGACTGTGACCTTCCCAACCGGCTGCACCTCGCTCGGCAAAACTCCTTGAGACAGGAGGCACTTGCAGAGAAGTGTTTATTAAAGGCACTAAAAGCACCGTGGCTACATCAGCAGCAACCCGACCGGAGAGCGTGGGGTTGGGAGAGGCATTCACAGGCCCAGGCCGGCAGTGGCAGAGCGCTCTTTGGTAGGAAGCCATGCCCTGCATCCCAGCACAGCCCCTGGGGGGGTGCTGCCACATGCCAGCCGCAGGGGAATGGTGGGCTTAGGTTAGGGGGGACATAGGCAGAGACCCCTGGCACAGAGCTGGGGTAGGCAGGAAGCCACTGCAGCAGTTTGTGGGGTGGTCAGGAGGTTGCTGCAGGCAGGAGCCCATAGGGGAGTGGGGCCAGGGCTCCAGCCCCACGCACTGAGCACACAGCAGGGAAGATGGGAGAGAGTGTGGCAGGGGGCTGGTCCTCACCCAGTCAGGGATGTGCTCAGAGCATCCCTGCCCGAGCGCTGAGCCGCTAGGCAGCAGGGCCCCAGCCGAGCAAGGGAACAGCTCTGCTGTGCCAGACCCTCCCCCAGCTCCAGCCTCAGCACAACACAACCACCACACTGCATGGCTGGGGGGCAGGAGATCCATGCAGCATCCCTGTCCCAGGGCTCCTAGGGCCAGTCAGGAGACACAGGTATAAGGGGCTCTGGACCCAGCACTGCCTTGGGCTGGAGCCAGGCCAAGAGCTGCCAGGAAAGAGGAGCAAGGGGAAAGGGCAAGGGCCCAGCCTGGCTCCCTGGGGGCAGCAGGGGTGGGGTGGAGAGGAGCATGCAGGGCCAGGGGCACGCGTGGGCACAGCTGAACTCCTGCCCCTCACACATGGGAGAAAGCGTGGCTCTTGCAGAGCGGCTTGTCCTTCTTGGAGTAGAATGTCTTCCCTTCTAGGTTGGTCTGGCAGATCTGGGGAGGAGAGAGAGCACAGGAGGTCAGGTCAAGGGGGCTGAAACAGCCCCTGGCTTCCACCCATAGCCCAGAGCTCAGCACTGGTGTGGTGCAGATGGCAGGAGGCAGGGTTCTGAGCCACCAGCATAGGGCCAAGTGGGAAAGCCTTGTTGCAGCAGGGACCCCATGCTGCTGGTGCATCCGATGCACAGCATGACTGCCAGGGAGAGCCACAGCCCTGCCAGCAGCCCGGGAGGGCGGCACATGGCTCACCGCACAGACGAAGCAAGTGTCATGCCAGCTGAACCCCAGCGCCTCCAGGAACCGGTCCCCAGCATCGATCTTGAAGTCGCAGCCGCGGCACTTTGTGCCAAACATCTTCTCATAGTCTGTGAGCAGAGGCAGAGCCCAGGTCAGTGTTCCCCAGCACTGCAGCCCCTCAGTCAGGGGAGCAGGGCTGCTGCACAGCCAGGATCCCCCAGTCACAGCCTGGGGACAACTTGCTGCCAGCCCCAGGGGCATGATGACTGAGACACCCAGGAGAGATGCCTGTGCTGTGTAGGGTGGCCCCTGGGCGCACGGAGGAGGCAAACCTCATCTCCCAGGATGCAGCACTCGCCTTTGATGTACATCCTGCGTCATCACCATGGCAACACGGGAGCAATGACACTACCCCCGGGAGCATCCGGGGAGGACCGGGATGGAGGGCTCAGGGCTGTGTGAGTGGGGTCCCTGTGTTCCCTGTGGCTCAGGGAAGCCCTGCAGTGCAGGACAGCTCACCCTCACCACTGTGGGCAGCTGCTGAGCCCCGATGATGCCCCAGTGCCATGTAGGGTGACACATGGGGTCCCCAGGTCCTACCTCTCTCGCAGTAGGGCTGTCCCTCCTCCATGTAGAAGGCACGGTTGCGGATGGGAGTTTTGCAGGCAGCGCATGTGAAGCACTGCACATGCCAGGTCATCTTCAGTGCATGCATGACCTCCTGGAGAGGAGCCACCATCAGCCAGGGGCAGGACCACCCCGTGCCATGGGGAGTCCCATCCAAGGCAGAAAGGGACAAGGGATCCCATGGGATGGGATCAGGATGGGAAGGGAAGGTGCCCATAGGCGAGCAGGAAGTAAAGATGGGAGGCGTGGGGCAGACTGAAGGCTACTCACCCCTGTGATCTTCTTCTTGCACTTGGCGCAGCTGGGCGCGTAGCGCGTGTCATAGCACTTGGGGCAGAAGATGGAGCCTTTCTCCTCAAAGAAGCCGCCCTCATCCAGCACCTTCCTGCACTGGCAGCAGGTGAACTCCTCGGGATGGTAATAATGTCCCAGCGCCACCAGGTAGCGTCCCCTGCAGCAGGACAGAGCCACGTCAGCCATGCCGGGACCCAGAATGCTGCTGTGGTAGTGGTGGTGACCAGGGCTCACCTGATGACCTTGTTGCACTTGTAGCAGAGCGGTGTGCGGCCAGGCCCCTCGGGGCTCTGCTGCGCTGCCTGCACGATGGAGCTGCGGTTCTGCATGGGGGTCGGTGTGGCCGGCTGGCTGTGCTTGCTCACCACGGTGCTGGTCTTGTCCGGGGCGTAGCGCTCCGCAAACGAGGGGTCCACAGCCCAGGGAGGGCGGCTGGCAGGGCCAGGGGTGGCGGCAGGGGTCCTGGGGGCTGCACACACACAGGTCTCCAGGACAGTGCTCCTGATCCCTCAGCAGCCCACTCCCAGCATCCATAGATGGGCAAGCAGCATCCCCCAGCACCCACATCCCACTCATCCCAAGACCACAGGAAAAGATTTGCTCACCCAGTCCTGGCTCAGTCTTCATCCCTGCTCCTGGGGATGGGTCCGGCACGGAGACCTGGCTACAGAACAAGCAGTTAATCCGGCCTGCCCCACTCAACCCCACTGCCCAACAGGCCTGCGTGTGTGCAAGCACGACTCCTCCACCCCAACAAGCAGGCAGGAGCCGGCCAAGCCCATGTGCCCAGCCAGCAGCTGGTTTGGTGATGATGGGTACCAAGCCAAGCACCTTCAGCCCTGCGAAGACACAGCATGCCTGGGGTCTCTGGCACCCAATGCAGCGCTCTGGGGAGCAATGGGAGGGAGCACAGGCCTGCTGGGGTATCACACCAGCTCTGGGCCTGCTCCAGACTGACCAGGAACCCCAGGGACCAGAGACCCTGGGTTCCCACTTACATGATAGTCACCCCCAGCCCCACCAGGGTGCAGAGGGACTTGGACCTGACACGGAGTGGGGAGCACCAGGGCCCAGCTCTCGCACAGCTGGGGACAGGCAGGCTCTGCCATCCCCGCCAGCTACGCAGGGCCACTCTGATCTTAGGAGGAACAAGGCCTGTGCTGCCCCCCTCCAGGCTGCCACCATGGGGCTGGGGAGCAGGCAGGGCAAGGCAGGGCCGGACAGGCACAACCCAGCCAAGCGAGAGGACAGGGACAAAGGCAAAGCCAGGGTCTCTGTGCCTCTCCAGGGCAAAGACAAGGAGACAGCTCCAAAACCAGAAGCATTCATCTGCAGCAGAGCAAACCAGACACAGGTGGGACCCAGTGGTCACAGCGCCAGGGCAGGAGGTATCTCCGAGAGGGGGAGGGAGAACAGGGGCACTGTGCATCACCCCTGCCCAGCTGCATGGGGCAAAGAACAGCACCCGGCACCCCTTAACACAGCCCCAGCTCCCTTCTCTGTCCTCACATAGGGAGGAGCAGGTGAAACTCACCCAGCTCTGCCCAACCACCCCACAGCCCCACACCATGCTCACAGGATGTTACACCCCATGTAAAGGTGCTGCCCAAACATCACAACCACCCCAGTGAGGTTTCAACAGTGCCACAAGCCGCATTAGACCCGCTGTGTCTGGGGCATCATGGCACAGTTTGGCATCCCCAACTTGGTGCCAGCAGCGCCCAGCAGGTCCTGTCTGGGACATGCAGCCCCACAGCTCCTGCAGCTGCCCTGCACACTCCCCTTACCTGGGTTTTTTAACAAACACATCCTCATGATCCTCCACTGGGCGCAGCAGGAGAGAGAGGAGGAGAGAGAGTCAGTCTGTGGCCACCAAGGACCAGGCACAGCGGGAAGGAAAAGGAAAGGCAGGAAAACCACCCTCTCCTCCTGCTGCCCTCCTGCCCCAACAACACAGCCCTGCCTGGGCATGGGGCAGAGCACAGCCCCAGCCCAGCAGCAGCACCACGAGCACACACAGAGACCTGGGCAGCCCACACAGGGCCACAACCAAAGCCCCAGTGCCACATCACCCCACAGCCTCTGCCAGGCACTCTCTGTCCCAGCAAAGGCCAGCACCCCCAGGCAGCCCAGCACCGCTGGGCCCTGAGGGAACTTACATCCATCAGTGCCCGTGAGCCGGGCCAGTTTGCGGAAGGAGCGGGACTGGGAGGTCCCGGTGCGGGGCTGCCAGTCCTCAGCATCCTCCATCAGCCGCAGCTTCCCAGGGTCACACACGGGGCTCCTGGGGGGGTCCAGCGGCTCTGGGGGCTGCCTGCGAGTGACAGAGGCAGGCGCTCAGCCGGCACCATGCACAGCTCCTGCCCAGCACTGCAGCACAGGGCAGTGATCCCAAAAGTGCCTTTACAGACACCAAGCCCTTTGCCAGACCTTGGCACTTACCACCACATCTCCCCCGTGCCCCAGCCAGCCCCATGGGTTTCCCTGCGGCATTAAAAACAACGGCGGTACAACAGTCAGTGGTTGACACACGGCTCAGTGCATCCCTCCCATATGCACCCCCAGCCCCACAGAGGCACAAGCCCCACAGATGCTGTCAGCACTCACTCATGACCAGCCCTGTAGCCCCCTGCAGCTCCACACAGGAAACTGTGCCTCAGGCATGTGTCTAGCACCTCCCAACATCCCCAGCAAGGTGTTGCCAGTGCCACCAGCTGCCCCTACCCATTATGCCCAGGAACACCGTGGTGCAGCTCAGCCTCCCCAGCTCAGTGCCAGCAGTGCCCAAGGGTCCTGCCCAGCACAGGGAGCACACACTCTTAAGGACATCCCTACTGGAGAAGCCAGACTGGCAGGCAGGTGCCTGGGCAGGACCCTCCCGCAGGGAAGGTCGGATCAGTGGCTGAGTGCTGGAGGGGCCCATCGAGCCACCGTGTGGTGAGTGCAGGGCGGGCTCTGCAGCTATATCAAGAGCTCAGCTTTGGGAGAGTGAAAGGACAGAGACAGAATGTGAGGATGGAGCAGGAGGAGAGGAGAGGAGAGAAGAAACAACAGGGCAAAGAGTTTCCGCAGTCACTGCAAGCAGTGAGTAGCTTACAGGAGTGAACGGCTCCTGCTGCTGCCCTGGTGCACACTCCCCTTACCTGGGCTCTTTAACAAGCTCATCCTCATGATCCTCCACTGAGCACAGCAGGAAACAAAGTCAGTCTGCGGCCACTGAGGACCAGGCACAGCAGGAAGGAAAAGGAAAGGCAGGAAAACCACCCTCTCCTCCCACCGCCCTCCTGCCCCAACACCCAGCCCTGCCCGGGCACGGGGCAGAGCACAGCCCCAGCCCAACCACTGTGAGCCAGCCCTGGGCAATTTCCACCCAGCTCAGAGGGGCAACGCATGGCCTAAGCCAACACACCGGTGCCAGACCTCACAACAGCCTGGATCAGGCTCCAGCTGCCCCAGCAAATCCCAGCACCCCCCAGGCAGCCAGCACCAGGTCCTGTGTGAACTCACTGCTGTCAGCACCCGTCAGCTGGGCCAGTCTGCGGAAGGAGCGGGACTGGGAGGTCCCGGTGCGGGGCTGCCAGCTCTCAGTGTTCTCTACCTGCCGTACCTTCCCAGGGTCACACACGGGGCTCTTGGGGGGCTCCAGCAGCTGCGGGGGCTGCCTGCGAGTGACAGAGGCAGGCGCTGAGCCAGCACCATGCATGGACCCTGCTTGGGCACAGGCAGGGATGCTGAAATAGCCCTCGCAGATGCCAGCCCCCCCTGCCACACCCTGGCACTTACCGCTGGTGCCCTGTGCCCCAGCCAGACCCATGGGCATCCCTGTGGCATCAGAAAAACGGTGGCACTATAGTCAGGACTTGACCTACAGCTCAGTGCATCCCACCCTATGCACCTGCAGCCCCACAAAGGTGCCATCAGCACTCACTCATGACCAGCTTTGCAGCCACCTGCAGCCCTACAGGACACTGTGCCTAGACATGTGCCTAGCACCTCCCAACGCCCCCAGCAAGGTGTTGCCAGTGCCACCAGCTGCCCCTACCCATTACATCCTCTTTGGTGCAGCTCAGCCTCTCCAGCTCAGTGCCAGCAGTGCCCAAGGGCCATGCCCAGGACACCCAGCACAGGGAAAGTCCGGATGTGGACAGCCTGGCAGGACCCTCCCAAGGTGATGGTCAGAGCAATGAGTGAATGCTGGCAATGCCTGTCACGTGGCTCTGCCAACAGCGCAGTTCTGGGAGCGGGAGAGAACAGAGGAGGATGAAAGAGAAAAACAGCAACAGGGCAAAGAGGTTCCCCAGAGTCACTGCAAGCAGTGAGTGCAAACCAGCCGGGTGGGCTCAGCCCCAAGTGGGCACCATTGTGGCTCCTGCTGCTGCACTGACACATGCTCCCCTTACCTGCGCTCTTTAACAAGCTCATCCTCACGATCCTCCACTGGGCACAGCAGGAGAAAAAGGAGGAGACAGAGTCAGCCTGTGGCCACCGAGGACCAAGTACAGCAGGAATGAAAAGGAAAGGCAGGAAAACTAACACCTCCTCCCACCACCATCCTGCCCCAACACCCAGCCTTGCCCAGGCACAGGGCAGAGGACGGTCCCAGCCCAGTGGCACCATCAGAGGCCCTCGCACAGCCCCAGGCAGCTCCCATCGACTCAGGAGCCACATGGGGACACATCCAACACACCGGTGCCACGATGCAGCCTCTGCCGGGCTCCAGCTGCCCCAGCAAAGCCCAGCACCCCCAGGCAGCCATTGCCAGGTCCTGTGTGAACTCACTGCTGTCAGTGCCTGTCAGCTGGGCCAGTTTGCGGAAGGAGCGGGACTGGGAGGTCCCAGTGCGGGGCTGCCAGCTCTCAGAATCCTCTACAAGCCGCAGCTTCCCAGGGTCACACACAGGGATGCTGGGGGGCTCCAGCAGCTGCGGGGGCTGCCTGCGAGTGACAGAGGCAGGTGCTGAGCCGGCACCATCCATGGACCCTGCTTGGGCACATGGCAGTGATCCCAAAACTGCCCTCACACACACTAACACCCACTCCAGACCCTCACCACCAGCACACGTCACAGCCCCCTTTTGCCCCAGCCAGACTCAGGCATCCCTGTGGCATCAGAAAACCGGCGGCACAGCACTGGGTGACTGACCCATGGCTCAGTGCATCCCTCCCATACACACCCCCAGCAGCACTCATTCCTGACCAGACTCCTGGCCACCCCCAGCTCCACAGGAACGCTGGTGACGCTCACCCCCATCTACCCATCTGTCTCACAACCCCACAGGATATTGTGCCCCGGGTCCAGGTACTTCACAGCACCTCCTAACCCCCCCAGTGAAGTGTTGCCAGTGCCACCAGCCTCCTCCAGGTTTGATTTGCTCAAGAAGCAACGGTGCAGCTCAGCCTCCCCAGCTCAGTGCCAGCAGTGCCCAAGGGTCCTGCCTGGCACACCGTGCTTGAGGACAGCCAGCCCTGCAGGTGGGTGCGTAGGCAGGACTCTGCCGAGGTGACAGTCAGATCGGTGGCTGAGCACTGAGGGTGCCCATCGTGCCATCGCGTGGCGAGTGCAGGGCAGGCTCTGCAGCTCCATCAAGAGCTCAGCTTAGGAAGAGCTAGAGAACAGAGATGGAACGTGAGGATGGAGCCAGAGGACAGGAGAGAAGAAACAACAGGGCAAAGAGGTTCCCCAGAGTCACTGCAAGCAGTGAGTGCAAACCAGCCGGGTGGGCTCAGCCCTGAGTGGCACCATCAAGGCTCCTGCTGCTACCCTGGTGCACACTCCCCTTACCTGGGCTCTTTAACAAGCACATCCTCATGGTCCTCCACTGAGCACAGCAGGAGAGAAAGGAGGAGAGAGTCAGTCTATGGCCACTGAGGACCAGCCACAGGAGGAAGGAAAAGAAAAGGCAGGAAAACCACCCTCTCCTCCTGCTGCCCTCCTGCACCAGCACACAGCCGTGCCCGGGCATGGGGCACAGCATGGCCCCAGCCCAGTGGCACCACCACGAGCCCACACAGAGCCCTGGGCAACTCCCAGCGGCTCTGAGAGGCCACACGGGGCCTAAGCCAACGCTCAGTGCCATAATACACCAGGTCATCAATCTGGCTGCAGTGGCCCTGGCAAAGCCAAGCACCCCCAGGCTGCCAGTGCCAGTCCCTGAGGGAACTTACATCCATCAGTGCCCGTGAGCCGGGCCAGTTTGAGGAAGGAGCGGGACTGGGAGGTCCCAGAGCGGGGCTGCCAGCTCTCAGCATCCTCTATCAGCTGCAACTTCATGGGGTCATATACAGGGGTGCTGGGGGGCTCCAGGGGCTGCCTGCGAGTGAAAGTGGTCTGTCAAATCAGACAGATCCCCACGGCATAACCTCCCTGGGGCTGCCCCACACCTTCCCCAGGCCAGAACTGCAGCACATTAGTACCCGAGATACCACACATTGCCTGCTCCCCACACCCCCTACTCCTCCTCCATGTCAGGAGGGACCATTAAGAACTGACCACCATTCCTGGCATTGTAAGACTGGTCCCACGGGACAGCAGTGGAAAGCACAGGGCAAGAATAAGCCAAGGTAAATAAATCACTGGCAGGGCAGCTGCATGAGAGCTCAATGAACACGTATGGTGTCCATGGCAGTGATGCCTGCTTGGCCCTGGGTGTGGTACCCAGCACAGCTGACAGCCCTTGCCCAACTAAGACATGTCTTGGGGAGGAGGAAAGGGACCATGCATGAGAACACTCCAGGGCCCCAGCAGACAGGCAGCGCTTGCCCTTCAGGCTAGGGGCAGCATGCTGCCAGGAGGGACACACGCCATGGACAGAGCAGCACACACTGCCTGTCCCTGGGCTGGCAATAGCAGGGAAGAGGCATGCAGGGAGGATAGAAAGAGCAGGCAAAAGGCTTACTGACTTGTCAAGGCTCAGCACCTGTAGGGGAGAGGGAAAAAGAAAGGGAGGAGAGAAAGAAAGAAAAAGGAAAGAGAAATTAGACCCGCAGCACCTGAGAAGTTCCCAGAGCTCACCTATGGCCTGCACCAGTTCCCCTACCCCAAGAATCATGCCCAGCTTGCCCAGGGCTGGGAGCACACTGGGGCACAGGGGCAGACACCAGCAGACCAGACCATGCCTCCCTCAGCCCCCCAAAACACACCTGGGTGCCCAGGACAGCCAGGGCTGCATACCCCCATTGCCCTGTCTCAGGGCACCACAGCAGCTCCTGGCAGGAGGGACCGGGACAGGCAGCTGCCAGACACACGGGTGGGCAGCCTGGAAAGCCAGGAGCTTCTTCCCTGCAAGCAGGGTGAAGACAGCGCTGCATGGGGTGCGAGGGCTTCACTGTGCCCAGCCCGTCCTGGCAGCCATGGGACCAGCAGGACATCCCGGGGCAGGCACTGGCTGGTGCTTCCGTGCTGCCACAGATGCCAGTGAATGTCCTGCTGCAACCACCATACCATGCCCTGCAGGACTCCCCACAGGCCTGACACGTCCCTGAGCGAGGGACCAGCACGTGCATGGCTGTGCATGACAGTCCTGTTGTGCCTCCTCAGCACCAGCCACCGGGGGCCCACAGCATGGGCACTGTTACCCGCTACCACCCTGGGGCCTGGCATGCAAGGCGCAGCAGGGCCGGGCAACGGGGTCCCTCCGATCCTTGGGGAGCAGGACAGACAGCAACGTACCCATTGTGCTGGGGGGTGCAGGCGGGCGCCAGGGGCGCGTACGTCACGGGTTTCGTCACCAGCCCGGGCCGTGGGTTCGGAGGCGAGCCTGCCCCGAAGGGCCGGGCTGTTTTGTTGAGGGCGGTGCTGGGAGCGAAGTTATATTTCAGGGGTTCAGAGCAGGGGAGTGAGTCCTGAGCGAGACAAAACACACAGACACGGGCTCACACGTCAAGCAGCATGCAAGGGGCCAGGCAGCGCAGCAGGCAGGGAAGCCGGACAGCATGTGCACCACAGGGCACCAGGCTCTGCCAGGCTGGCACCTCACTCTGCAGGTCACAAGCCTGAGGGTTGTTGGAGAATTAGTAAGTGCCCAGACACTCGCTGCTGCACGCAGCAGGGCAGAGCATGCACACACCGATCCAAACTGCCCCGCAGCACGAAGCTGAATGCATGCAGGTGGCTTCCATCCAGGAGTCACCGGCCCCAGCCCTGCTCCCCGTGCCAGGGCACTGCCCAGCGCTGGCAAATACAGGGCCCCGAGGCCATGAGCAACTGCCTGGCCTCCTCACCTCTGTTGGCCTTTGCCCGCACCCAGCACTGGCAGGGGCACAGGCGGGCAGCAGCCATGACCTGGGTGCCCGCTGGACAGACCCTGCTCCCTCCGATCCCCTGCAGTACAGCAGTCAGGGCCGCTCCTCCAGCAGGGAGTTCTCCAGCCCTTCAAACACACCCAAGTCCCCCCAAAAGCCTGCAGGCCCCAGGAGCAAAGTCCATTTGTCCATCTACACTCCGAGCCAATTCCCCTCCCCTGAAACCAGGCTGAGGTACCTCTGCAGCACCAGGAGCGACACGTACCTTCTGTGGCTTCCCCATGTGGTTCTGAGCTCTGCAAGAGAGAAGACAGGGAGGCAGGTACTGAAACCAGACCAGCCAGCACCAGGACACTGCTACCCCAAGAAGGCAGCCCCCACCCAAGGGGAGCCATGGACTGCTGACATTGTCCCATGGCTCACAGGAGAGGGCTGGCGGCCAGGCCAAGCCTCATCCAGCCAAGTAGAGCCCCTGGACTCATCCAGGGGCTGCCAGGCTCCGAGCAAGGAGCAGTGATGCCGGGAGATGGCACTGGGGGCACTGGGCAGAGCGGTTTGCTCCATCCACACAAGGACCCACAAATCCCACCTGCTCAGTGTGAGGCTGAGCCTGTCCCCACAGGCGCGGATCCTGTTCTGGGCCTCGATGTGTGTCATGGAGCTGGTGCTCTCCCCGTCGATGTACAGCACCCAGTCGCCCACTCCCACACCAGCCTGCGCCGCCTTCCCGCCCGGTGTCAGCTGAAAGACAGACAGAATCAGGGAGAGCCAGCACGGCTGATGTGGGAGCACAGGGACAGCCCTGTCCTCCTGACAGCAGGGATCTGCTGGGTCCCAGCTAAGGACACCCATACAAGCCTGATGAGGGGGAAGTAGGGACCCACACATCACCCCCGTTTCCCAGCCCACTGGCCCCTCCACTGAGCGCACAGCTGGGGCCATGACAGCACCCCGGGGCCCAGTCCCCATGACACCGAACGGCAGAGGCGGTGCTGGCTCAGCCTCGGTGCTGCCTCAGCCCCGGCAGGAGGCCCGGCCACCCCTCAGAGCCATCCGGGCGGTGGGAAGCGAGCGCAGTGAGTCAGGACCCGCCGGACAGCCCACGCCTGGCTGCAAACCACAGGCACGTCCAGCTCATCGCCCGGGGCGAGCGCTGGGACAGGGGAGGCAGCCCCCAGGCGCACGTCCCATTCCCTCCTGGTGCAGACGTTACCTCATTCCCACAGTGGGAGCACTCCCCAGGGCAGGGAGACACCAACCCCGACCCACACAGCTCCCTGAGGCCTCACCCCGCTGGGGCACCTGTGAGCACAGCCATGGGTTCCCCTGCACCGGGGATGTGCCTTGTCCCCAGCACGGTTCTGTGGCCCGGCGCTGCGTCAGCCCCGTGCGGGGAAGCAGAGGCTGCCCTCCCCTCCCGCCGGGGATGCACAGCGGAAGGTGAGCAGGGCCCCGAGCACCGCACACAGCTCGCAGGCACTGACAGACAGACGTGGGTAGGCTGCAGCCATTCCTGCTCCTCCAGCACAGAAGAACTTGAGGCGCTTGGACCCAGACCAAGTATTTCCTCAAGTCCTGTTCAACATGAACATAAAAGGAGCGAGCCAGATTCCCAGCGTTGTCAGAGGGCTGAGAAAACCCTGCGACGAGCCCCAGCCCCTCCTTGCCCATGCACGGGGCCCTGCTTGTCCCAGAGCTGTGCTCTCCTCCCCCACGTCAGCACAGGTCTTCCACGAGAGCCCAAACCCCACAACCAGGCTGGATGCGGCCTGGCACTACCTGCATCCCACTGCCACCCCATAGGACACAGGTACCTCCTCCTGTGTCCCTGTACCACCCAGCACCCGCTCCTCCTGCCCAGCACCACAGGGTGCCCTGGGCATGAAGTGGCGCCGGCCGGCTCTCGGCCGCACCGCTGCAAGCCCCGTCTTGCTGCCCTGGAGGGCTGGGGAAGGCATGAGGTGACTGCATATGTTTGGAAGCAGGAGTAGGATCTGGGAGAGGTTTTCACAGGGCTACACGGGAAGGGGAGAGCTCAAAGGCTGCGTCACACACCGCACCCAGCCTGCCACGCTGCCCTTCCCGCGCCAGGAAACCCCTTCGGCAGGTGCCAGCTCAGGCAGGAGCCATGGCAGTGCCAGCCCTCCTGCTTCCAGGGCTTCCTTCCTCCCCCTCCACCCAGCCAGCCCTTTGTTCCCCAGTGCCTCCATCACTACATCCAGAAAGGTGTCCCTGGCTTGGGCACCCAGACAGGGCCTCACACAGCACTGAGGGGAGTGAGGCACCTGCACTGCGGCCAAGGAAGCATCCCCCAGCACTGTCCTGCTAGCAGCACCAAGGGTCTCTCCTCCACACAGCATCCAAGCCCCCAGACACCAGCCCTTACCCTGGCTCCACTACAAGCAGCTCAGGACCTTGCAGGCTCTTGCAGCTTGTCTAGCCAAGGTATCAGGACCCCAGCAGAGCCCCTTACCATGCAAGAAATACGCAGAGGACCAGGGTGGCACCTCCTTTATGTGACCACCGAGCTGAAGAAGCCTCGCAGCTCACCCAGCAGTGTCATGGTGATGGACACAGCCAAGAGCCAAAGCACTCACCAGTGCTGCTTTCCCCATGTGCTCCCCTGCCCCACAGAGCAGGGCCTCACTGCAGCTCTCAAAGCCAGGGCAGGACGCTTCCTTCCAGCTTGCTCCAGCAGCCCTAGGCCTGCCAGTGCAGCCAGCTCCCTGCTCAAGGGAAGCAGTGGCCAAGGACAGCAGTGTGCTCTGGGCAGGAGCTTTAGGGCTGGGGATGCCTCTGGGGTGCAGGGCCACCCCTTCCCATAAGACAGGGCCGACGTCCCTACATACAGCACAGCTAAAGCTGGCCACATCCCTTGGGAACATCCTCACTGCTCCTGCATGCCCTGCCCAGGACAGCAGCAGTGTCCAAGCCCCGAGGGCAGCGCTGGACTGCTTGAACAGCGGGGATGTTGCTTCACGAGGCCCCTGCCCTGGGAGGCTCCTCCATCCAACCAGACCCTTTGTTAAACTCTGGCTCGCAGCCAAGGGAAACATTTTTTAGCGCATAAACCCGCTGAAGCCGTCTCTGTGCTCAGCATTGATTCGCAGGCCCCGGGGCAGCGGCACTGGCAGCTCCAGCCTCGCACAGAGCACTCAGGGTCTGTGTGGGATGCTGCAGAGACCCGTGCTCTTTGGGACAGACACACGGTGCCAGGCTCCTGCCAGGGGCAGGCCCCACGCAGCGCTTGGTGCCACCAGCAACGTGGTCCTTGCAAAAGCAGCATCATGCCAGCAGCCCCAGCATCAGCGGCACGGGCGATGCAGTCACATTCCAATGCTTATAAGGCAATTGTGTGACCAGAGCCCCGGCCAGCACCCACCCTGGGGACCAGGCTGCTCAGGGACAAGGACACACACACAGCCAGGAGCCAGACATGGCTTGGGTGAGCATCACAGCGGGAGCAGCTCACACCAGGTACCTCAGCCACAACAGGCAGCACAGCGGCTCTTGCTCACGCTGCAGAAATTGGCTGGCTCTGTAAAGGGAGCCATATCTCTGTGCAGGCACCAGCACAGGCTTCCTCCCTTCCCTGTCCATTTCAGGGGCCAGCTCAGGTGTGGAGCTGGGAAGCACACAACAGGGGGGCAGAAGGGCACAGGCTGGGTCCTGGAACTCAGAGCCCAGCAATGGAGTGCAGACCAGAACGTTGGCCCCACAGCTCAGAGACGTGAGAGCAGCTCCCCTCCCCCTGCAGTGGGCAAGCTCAGGAAGGGGCCTCCCCGGCCCCCCCAAGCAGCGGAATGACTCTGCAGAGGCCGGGCAGCATTTCACATCTCTGCCCGGAACACCCCCGAGCTGGACTGCAGCTGATAAGGCACCAAGGAGGCTACATGGAGCCAAGCAGGGCAGGATGCAGCATTCCCAGGGCCCCAACTCATATACATCCCCCACATATCTCTGCCTCAGCCACCTGGATGCAGTCACCATGGCTTCCCACCCCCTGAGGCAGGAGGAAGGGTGGGTATCACTGGTCTTGGCTTCTCTTACCCTGGAGATGGAGAGCGGCATGCTGAAATCTTTTCCTCCCTGCAGCCTGAAGCCCCAGGGCGCTGGCCCGTTCAGCATCACCTTGTAGGACTCCATGTCACCCATCTCTGCAAGGGAAGAGGGTGTGATCCTGGCATTAGGATACACAGGAAAAATGCAAGGAGAGCAGGCAAGGAGGGGGGCCGGTGCCTTACACAACAGGACAGGAGACTGGTCATGTTTCCACCCTGACCATCCTACACTGTGGTTAGAGACGCACCCCAAATCTATCAGCATCTCCTCCAGCAGTGCCAGAGCCAAGACTAATGCTGACTAGTGCAAAGAGTGAGGCATAGCCCCGCTGCCGCTCACAGCGGAGGACCCGCTGGCTTTGCCCTCCCTCGCCCAAACCTGGCACTTGTTATCCCTTGCAGCATCCCAGAAACTCACGCTGCTGAAAGCCAAGACCGTTTCAGACCACGGAGAAGTGGGAGCGGGTAGGGAAGGATGGGAACCAGAAGCGTTCTTGCCGGGTGGAAGATCAGCGGCAGCACAGGAGCTGCGGGACACCACCCGAGGCGCCTGGCAGAGCACCGCTCCGGCAGCTGGCCCAGCACATGGTACCTGGGAGCGAGCCCATCTCTGCGCTCAGAGCCGGGGCTCGGCGGGAGGGAATCCCGGCGCTGCGCTGCCTGCCAGGGCCACACTGACAGCTGTCAGCCGGCCGGGGCCCGGGCAGCCGCGGCCATCGGACACCCCTCACCTGAACGGGCCCCCCGGCACCCTCCTCCTGCCGCTGCCAGCCGGGGTCAGAGGGGCCCACGCCCTCCCTGCCCCTCGCACCGGACGGCCGGGCGGCGGCGGGCGCCGCAGGGCTGGGGGCCAGCGTGCCCCGCTCTGCCGGCCCGGTGCGGGCTATATAAGGCGTGTAAGACGACACCAGCCCGCTCCCCGCTCGGGAGGGCCGGAGGAAGCTGCGTGTCAGGCATTCCCAGCGCCGAAGCGCCGGGACCGGGCAGGCAGCCCCTATCTCCCCTCGGGGCTGGGCCAGGGTCCCCAGCAGCCCCGCGATGGGCATCTCTCCAGCTCCGGAGGAACGGCCGGGCCGGGCAGCCAGCCCTGCCCCCGAGCCCCGCTCCACAGCCCGCCCCACGGGGAACCCCTCCCCATCCCGGCCCACAGAGCCCCCTTCCCGAGGTCGGGGCCCCCGACCCTGCCCCACATGGGCCCGACCCCAACCAAGCCCCTGCTCCCAGACCCAGGCCTCAGCCCCGCACCCCCCATGACCCCACTCCCCCGGCAGAGCACGCGGACCCCAGCCCTCACTCACCCGCGGCCGGGCGGGCCCCCGGTGGGGCGGGGGGCGCCACAGCGGGGAGCGGAGCAATCCGGCTGCCGCGGGACTCGAACTCGGACACCGCCCCGCTGCCCGGCCCTGCGCTATATAGCGGCGAGGGGGAGGCGGAGCCGGCCGGCGGCTTGGCCAATCACCACGCGCGCCTGCCTGCAGCGAAGAGCACAGCGGCGCCCCCTAGCGGGGAGCTGCTGGCTGCCCCCACCCTGTTCCCGCAGCACCGACCCCGAAGCGCCCGGTCCTGCCCTGGCTGTTTATTCACCGCCCCGCGCCACCGAACCTCATCCAGACCGGGATCAGGCCCAGTCCCGCGGGCCGGGGGCCTCCCGGCTCAGCAGCCGCACCAGCCTGGCACGGAGGGTGCCCTGGGGCTTGTGTCCAGCACGTCCAGACAGCGGCTCCTGCCCCCCCCTGCCCCAGCGCTGCTCGGGTTGCTGGGGGCTGCCCCGCGGGAGCTGGGTCATGGCGGCCCGGTTGTCATAGAGGGGGGTCGCCTCGCTGCTGTGGCCCTCGGGGGCCTGCCGGCACTCCAGCTCCCACCGCCCTTTCTCCTCTTCCTCGGCCCCGGCTGGACCCGGCTCCGCAGAGAAGATGTTCTCGTAGAGATGCTCAGGGGCCGGCTTCCCTGCAGCCCAGGCCTCACTGCAGCCCGGCGCCCCTGCTGCAAACAGGGGTTGCTGCTGGCTCCGTGCGATGGAGGCATAGATGATGGGGCCTGTGCCCTCTGGCTCAGCAGCGGAGAAGTGGAGAAGGCTGGCAGGGGCCTGGGATGGGGCCTGTGACCCCCCAGGGGTGGGGCTGGGCTGGGGCTCCTCAGCCCCAGGGCTCCAGGACTGGGGCTCGAGGCCCTGTGCAGAGAGCCGGGGGTCTGGGGTGTCCTTGCCCTGCTGCTGGCAGGCGATGGCAGCGGCAACAGCGCGGCAGAGCTCCGGGGCCCGGGGGGTGCTGAAGGTGAAGGTGCCTTCACCAGTGTCACTGCGGCGGCCAGCCTCGAAGGAAAAGACAGTCTGTGGGATCAAAGGATAGGGTGAGGAGCTAGCATCCACCCTGAGAAGCCAGCAGCTCCAGGGAGGGAGGGGGGACACCCACCTGATCCTGGCCAAACTTGCGGAGGAAGGGGTAGGGCCAGGTGAGCAGGGGCTGGCGGGACTGCAGGTCTTTCAGCGTCAGGCTCTGGGGAAGGACTGAGAGCAGGTAGTGCCCACGCAGGCCACAGCGGGCAGCCGCATCCGTCCAGACCACCAGCACCAGGAATTCAGTCACTACAGGAGCAGAGCAAGGCAGTGGTCAGCACCACAGCACGGAGCTGGAGCCCACCCTAGCCCAATACACCACTCCTGTACATACAGTCCTGCCAGGAGGAGTAGAGGACGTTCTCTTCCATGGGGACAGGGGGGCTGGGCTGGGTCCTGGTGTTCCTCTGTGTCATCTCCTTTGTCCCCTAAAACAGAAGCATGTGAGCATTGCCCCTGGACTGCAGGAGCACAAGCACCCCTTGCTTGCCCATACAACCCAGAACCCCCATGTCACTCGAGCCAGGAGCAGCACAAGAGCTCCCAGCTATACTGGACCCCATGGTGGTACCTGGAAGGCCAGCTGGCAGAGCTGGGAGATCCACTCATCGCGCTGCTCGGCAGCCAGCACGTAGCTCTTCTCCGTGGTGGTGAGGTAGAAGGCAGCAGTGGCTTTGGGGCAGCTCTCTGTGCCCACTGGGCCCACGGAGACACAGTCAGAGAGGCGGATCACCCGGCGGGCGCACTGCCGCAGCGAGGGCTTCTCCAGCATCATGCCATCATCCCGCACGTCGAACTTCTCCATGCGGGCCACGCCGGAGGCACTGGCAGCAAAGAGCTGGGCTCGCATCTTCCTCCAGGACCTCTGGGGCACAGGAATGGCACAGGCAGGGAAAACCAAGTCAGCAACGAGCTGCCTGCTGTGTTCACAGTGCTCCATTCCATGCGGGGCCAGCAGTGCTCAGGAAGGGTGGAAAGGGATAGGAGGGGGCACATGGGGGTCCCCAGCGAGCCAGGGCCAGTGCAGACCCCCAGTGCTGCGGGGCAGGGCAGTCCCCATGCTGGGGTGAGGGGAGCCTGGCTCACTGCATGAGTCACGCTCGCTCCCGAGCACCAGGTCCTGCTCTTTGTTCCCTGCTGCAAGTGCCGGCCTGCTGCCGCTGCAGCTGAGCTCAGAGCTGTGCTCAGGACAGACCCTGATGCAAATTAAAGCCATTTTGAGCTGCTAAAGCTCCTGCTGGCAGCTTCACATCTGTGGAGCAGGAACGGGCCCTGCAGCCCGCTTCCTCCCAGGGGAGGCTCTGCAGCACCAGCACCTTCCCAGCCTGTCATGGGATGGAGGGGGCGAGTGCCCCCACGCACCTGAACAGCACCATCAGAGCCTCCACCCTGCACAAACCAGAGCAGCCAAAATACCCACCACTGCCAGCCCCCTGCCTCATACACAGCAGGACACCAGGCACACACACACAGGGCTTGCCCGCTTCACTTCCAAGGTGAGCTATTGCTCAGCAGGGGAGTTGCAGCCCAGCACATCCACTGACACCTCAAGGGAAGAGAGGATGCTACTGATGGGCCTGCTTCACTAACACCCATCTTGCACCTCTCTAGAGCTGGCTTGACCCTGCAGTCTCCCACCATATCACCCATCCCAAACCAAGAGGGCTGCAGCACTCAGTGCCCACCCCAAAGGTGCAGAGCAGCAGGCCAAGCCACAAGGGGTGCCCCATGAATGGCAGTGTCCCACCAGAACCAGGCTGATGGAGGGATACGCACAGAGCCACATCCCACACGCTGCCCTGGTGCCCCACTCCCACACACACACGCTGGCTGCGCCTCGGTGACACACGTTTATTGTTTCATTGCCAATCACAGAGTGACCAAGTGAGAAGAGGGACTCTGCAGGCAGCATGAGTCCTCTCGGCCACAGGACAAGCCCTGCCCCTGGGACTGCAGAGCCCTGGGACCCCCTCCAGGCAGCTCTGAGGGGTCTGGCTTGTCTCCCTTCCCAGGCTACTGAGGGCCCAGCTCCAGGCGTGGCATCAAGACAGAGCAGGGCAAACCCTGTACCCAGCCCCCAATCCACCTTTTACCTTTCCAAATTTGTAGTGCTGCACATAGAGGATCCCATCCTTCACCGGTCTCTCCATGGGCCCAGCAGCGCTCTGGCACCCTGCGCAAGGACTGGTGACTTGGGCTGCCAGCAGTGGAGAAAATGTGACTGCTGCAGCTGAAACTACTGCATGGGGCAGACTTCCTTCTCTCAACAACTTCCCCTTTTTGGTGTGTGGGATGAGGGGCAGAGGCTGGGCCACAGGAGGTGTCTTGTCTGTTCGCCCTCCCCTTCGCAGAAGGGCAGTAGTGCAGAACGTGCGCAGGCAGAGCACAGGAAACACCACAGGGACCACCCAGCAGGATCAGGGCAAGCTCTGCCTTACCCCAGCTGCATCAGAGCATGTTTGAGGGGCACGGAAAAGCCACAAGCTGAAAACGCCCAAAAAACAGGGATGTTCCTGGAGAAATCGAGGGGCTTTGGGGAAGAGCGAGGTAAGACCCTGGTCAGGGCACTGCAGGGGCCTGCAGAGGCAGCAGGCAGCCAGCCACAGACCAGTTACCCCTCCTGGGGCTTCTTCCTCCCCTCAGGCACTGCTACCTGCTTGCCCAACATTGCTGAGGTAAGGCTGACTTAACCCAACCATGATGTCATGGCTGTTGCAGCACAGCTCCACAGCTCTGCCAGGGGCAGGAACTTTGTCAGGCTGAGCTGGCCAACTACCTGGAAAAGGGGCCATGGCAGAGAAGGACAGGCCCCTGGGCTTGGGAAAGGCAAGGGGGCAGCTGGGGCACCAAGGCTGAGTGGAAGCCAAGGCCCACGCAGTGGGGCATGGGCAGAGGGCTCCCCAGGCTAGAAGTCCATAGAGCTGTGAGCCAGGTAGTCCTTGCGGCCGATGTTGCTGACTTGCTTGGTCTGCATCGCCTCCAGCTTGGGGCAGCCGGTGATGCGATGGCCCAGGCCACCGCAGAAGGCACAGCCCCGCTCGCCTGCAACAGGAGTGACAAGGTCAGGGGGAGGTGTGCCGTGCCAGCAGAGTGGCCCTCCTGCCCAGAACAGAGCAGAGGGGCTACAACAGCAGCTCCCCTGCATGCCACAGCAGGGCAGGCAATGACAGCCTCAAGGCAGCAGGAATGGCCTGGGAGCTGGGATCCTGCCCGCAGCACACGTCCCTCAGCCAGCCTGGAGTCTCTCACCTCTGATGTCCAGCATGGTCTCATCCCCGCAGTGCAGCACCTGGAGCACAGGCGGCACCTTCTGCTTCGCCTCCAGCAGCAGGGCCTTCAGGTCCATCAGCACTGACTCGTCTGGGGGCAGAGGCACAGATCAGACGCAGCCCAGGTAGGGGTGGGGGCATTGCCTCACATCACCATATCCCCTCCACAGGCCATCATGCCTTGTCCCTGCCTGCTCAGAACACCCCCAGCCAAGTCACAGGCAGCTCCAGCACCCAGCTGCACCTCACAACCGCAGCACCCCCCCGCCCCCCCATTTCTCACCACAGGCCTTGTTGATGAAGGTGGTAGCAATGCCTGTGTTGCCTGAACGGCCTGTACGCCCGATGCGGTGAACTGTGGAGAAAGAGACAGGATTGGGCCTCGGTCAGTGTAATGTGACAGACTACCCCTGCCCCCAGCTGCTGCAGAGACAAGCACAGAGCCTCGCTGACCTCTGCGCCCACCCCACTGTACCCTCTGTGGTCCCAGTCCCCACCATAGTTCTCTATCTCCTCCGGCATGTCGTAGTTGATGACGTGCTGGATGGCTGGGAAATCCAAGCCCTTGGAAGCGACGTCAGTGGCAACCAGGACATCCTTCTTCCCATCCCGGAAGGCCTCAATGGCTTTTGTCCGTTCTTCTTGATCTGCAAAGGCCCAGCAGAGAACATCAGCAAGGGCAGAGCTCCCAGAACTACCTATCACAGCAACCACTAACCTCAAAGCCCTTCCTCAGACCATCACAAACTGCTTCACACTGGTACCTCCCCACAGCCACACACAGCCCCAGGCAGGGCACACCAGAACCTGGGCTTGCCCAACACCCTCACC